ACCCACACTGACTTTGTATCCAGTCAATATGTTGCAAATCGGTGCGGATCGCACTTGAGATTGCAGTAGCACCTTATATACTTCAGAAAACATGTTTTGGGTCGTAAAATGTATTTCTATATAATATACCGTTAAGTGATCGCATTTTTCTATATAAACGTCCAAGTTAATAACGCAGTCATTCACACAAAACTGGTCCGAAACCTGTACTAATTATGTCGATAAAATAACAAACGCCATGAAAGCATATTATTCAGCAGGCAATCATAATATATAAAGCTTTAGAATTTTGAGGGTGTTCGCTATTTTGTATTTTTGAGTTTGGGGGCATTACTATTTTTAGATGAAGATAGCTAAAGGTGGTCTGCTTTTTTACTTCTGCATATTTCAATGTTTTCTAAGTTGTTATAATGGGCTTTTTAGGTTCCGAACCTTGATCATACCTTAATTCACCACGTCTAGTATTATAGTATCCGGAGCATAATAGTACTGAAAAGATGGTTAGATAGGATACACAAATATGCTAGTTATTTAGAAAGTCAGGTATTATATTCATTATAGAATTACATAATTATTGGAGCTAAAATATATATTATGTATTTTCGTTACCTTTATTTTTTCTCTTTCAAGTATTCTGCACACAAATCATTAGGTTTAAGTTATTGGGTGCGGGGCCAACTGACTTTCTAATTATCCCATTTTCTACAAACCGTGTATGCATTGAAATTGTATAGTAAAACGAATCTAACGTTCAGACTTGTACATATATACATATGCTGCGGTACACAATAATTAGACACGATTGTATGTATTATTATTATTATTGTTGTTACATTTCCCTCTAGCACTTTCGGCCTGTCGTTTCCCTCCTGTTAAAACATCATACCCAAGTATGTAACGACGAACGCTTGTTTATTTTATTTACCTATACCTACTTGCCCGCCCATAATACACTGGTCATAATATATATTATAATATATAGAGGTATACAGGAGTCGACGAGACAACAACAGCTGACAGGACAGCAAACGGCGTTACAGTGCATGTGATAGGTGAACCGTGAACAGACCACGGAGTTTACCTTTTTTATATTTGTAATTAACTTTTCGTTTTTTTTTTTTGGCTACCGATGCAGAATCCCGACTTTGGTCTATTGGCGCCATCGTTAGTCGTGCAAACGCAAAAAAAATAAAACAAGAAACCGTAAACGAAAACGAAAAAAGTATACTTAACCCAAAAATAAGCCGTATAGGTACATAACAGTGTATAACAGTGAATATAATATTATAATAGGTACATGTTCATAATATTGCCCGTCGGCGACGGCGGTTCACTTTCTATATTATCCGCTCGAGGTTCAATTATTATAATTATTGTTCGCCTGATAATATTTAAAATATACACTAATAACAATAGCTATTATTGATATTGTGAACTCATTGGACGCGTGCAACATTCAAGTACTTAATTACACACAACGGTGGATAATTGGGTCATTTATTTTCAAATACAACTCGTTTCTAAACAAAACAAAAATTCCAATTTCACTCGTTTCGAGGCTATTAGTACTCCAGTCGATCAAAGATTTTTAAGGCATACATTCAAATTACTAATACTGTCGTTTTAGGACCCACTGGCCTGACTGTAACACACTGAGTGATTTGCCTAACAATACCAACACAATTTAGTAGACGGTCAATACACGCAAAACAAAGGTCAGATAATTTTTACATAAAACGTGTTCTTAATATGTTAAGAGTGTCTTAAATGTTTTATTCAAAACAAAACTGTCAAAAGATATACAATAGATCACGCGGACATAGAAGTCAAACAAAAAATATATTCCCGTTCTAAAACTGTATATTATCCTTCTTGCCCAAATTTCTCAAACTATTTGTTTTAAACTCGAGAAATCATATTGATAATTCGAAATTAGTCGGTAGTATTTTTTTAAATTAAAATATTCTTGAAAAAAAAGTATGCCTGGGTTGAAATTGTATTGAAAGTAGTAACGTCGCACTTAACATAATATGGTTAAGTAGTGGTAAATTAATGGGGTTTGGAATCGGTGTTTGCAAACAGAGTAATGAATAAAATATAAAACACACTTTGTGTTTGAATAAGTAAAAAACTTACCGCTTATCCAGCCGTGTGGCGTTAAATGAAATATATGAAAAATTTATGATATTTACTGACGCGATTTATGGGTTTCTTTGAGTTGGCCAACGCGTTAGAGTGTTTTAATTTGTGAATGATATTATATGATTTATACATACAAACATATATATATATATATATATATGTGCGTGTGTATAAATATATGAGGTTGAAAAGCGGCGCCGCAATAAATACATCCGTTAAGCACATAAGAACCGTAAAACACTCACTGGAATGATGCAAAGCGTTTCTCAAGTGTAGGGGAACGGCTTGTTTGATAATAAGTCCAAAAATAACATTACCTACTCTACATCAGCTGAAAACTATTAATTAACCATTTCACAAGGAAAGTACTTAAAGCGCGTACGTTGCCGTCGGACAGTAATACTTTATTTAAGTTAAGCGACTGTTATTGTACTTGTATTACCGATTTATCTATCTATTAAAAAAACAAGGCAATTGGTAGAGCTCTGGAAAATATTGTGTACAGTGTTTACCTTTTTGTATCGTACAAGTTGTAAATTAACATGAATAAAAATGATTGAAAAAAGTACAACTTCAAATTGTAACCAATTCAAAAGGAATGTAGTGTCTTTCGTTAAATGGATACCTACTATATACTCTTATTAAAAAAAAACTTGTTTTAATAATTAAAACTGCGATTTTTAAATTATAAATATTTTAACGACAAGGTTTAAATGAATATTATGGAAATTAGATACCTAATTAAAAAATTGTTTTGAATAAGTTTGTGTAGTCTTTTTTACTAATTTATCACATCTCGTTTATGGTTTTTTTTTTTACTAATTGAATTATTATCGTTAAATTATTTATAATTGAATACAAAAAAAAAGAGAAGGACTTGCTGTTGAAATTAATTAATTTAGCAATGAATCGACTAAATATCATACAACGTGATGAAATAGATTTCATAGATTTCAACTGCCCAAGTTGATAATTAAATACTACTACAATTAAAAGTGTACGTGTACGAGTTGATAAGCAGAGATTGGCAAATCTGTATCGACGCACTTTATCAGACGATATTAAATAGCATTATGTTATACAACCTATTAAATTTAATATCATAATTATCATTATCGTTGTACAATTCATCATATTATAATTATATTGCTAAATTACCATATCGCTTCAACTCTCGCCCGAGACTATTAATGTTAACGATGTCTTTTATAAATTTAAAATATGATTATTGCTGAAATCACTTAAAAATAATTACCAAAACTTAATTACAATACAAGCTATTACTAAAACCTACACGAATATACGGAATCCAATTATGGGGCTCAGCCAATTTTTTTGAACATTAACCGTATTATAATATAAAGATATCAATCAAAAGTTCTTCCAAACTCTGCGTGCCCAAGGGTTGCCCAAGACGGTGCTGTCTATCAATACTATTATTTTTTTATAATTTGATATCCCAAGTCTCACCCCTCTACGAGTCTGTGTAGTCGGCACCGCCCCTCTGTAGACACAATATATAAACGTACCTATATAGTGGACGTAACGTATTCATTTTATACTATCATTATTATTATTATTATTATATTACAGGGTGTAGCATTGCCTTTGGGCGAAATGTCACAAGTGACAAAAGGTCTCGCAGACGAATAGGAAAAGGACAAATAGCAAAAAGAAAAAAAAAGACCAGCCGTTGAGTGCAGCCAACGGCCATTATCGTGCGTGTCGTTTAATAGACTGGATCGCATGGCACACACACAACGGCGCCTGTTGGGTCCTATTGGGACAGACGGCTGACGCCAGGCGGCAGATGCAGACAAGCGCCACCACCACACGACCGTCAGTCCCGTGGGTTCGTCTGTCGCCCCAAAAAAAAGAAATATATATATATATTTTATATGTCGGTCCCGTCCAGGCGGCGGCGTCGGCGGCAACATTCTTCTTTTCCGACCCTCTTCAGAAAATATAATAATAATGATAACAATATATATATAGGTACCCCGTCTCTATACTGGTAAAGAATCGTTTTTAACCTATATTATTATTATTATTACAAGCCAACGCGCAAATTGCAGGTTTATCCAGTCACGAGGCCTGTTCTATGCATTGTTTTCTCGTGACTCGAAACGCCGTCGGCGTGGATAAAAATATATAATACCTAATAGTAGTGTTTTATAAAATCACATAATATAATAATATGTGTTTCAGTCCACGGTTGATCCCTTTAAAAAAAAAAAAAAACGCCAAAACTAAACCGTGCCTATTTCTCTATACTACCGGAGTTCTACGTTCAACGGGTCGACGGGTATTATAGTTTTGCAAGAATAAATTATAAATCTATTTGTGAGTGTTTTTTAACTGCGAAAGACAACCCGATCATAGGTGCATGTAAATACATGTAGCAGCAAGATTTTATCATTGCTATAATATAAACCTGTCGACGTTTAGTAAACGTTTGGCTCTCTTGCACAATTTTCCAATTGACGGTAATTTATTACAGTCGTTTAGTTTTGGTCAGCTGCATAGTTGGCGCAATTTCGTGAGGCGCTAAACATGTTATGCAAACCCATCAAATTAGAACATTCCCAAAACACCTACAAATTTTAGATATAATTTTTTTATTGGCAGATTTATTGTGGATTGAGATCGATTTGATATTATTATTATTTCGAGTTTTGAAAATAGCTAGCCACCCCCTGAAATTGTGCCAATAGTCAGCCGCTGCTAGTTCGTCCAAGACGCTCGTCGACATGTTATATTGTAATAATTAATAATATGCTAAAAGTATGATATGTAGATTTACGAGACTATCGCCTCGAGTTGTATAATCAACAGGAATAACAATAAATAATATTCACCTGTGGCAGCGGCGGAGTCCCTCTGGAAGAGCCTGTTGTTTCTGTCGGTGTCGTCGATTTTCATACTGTCGGTGGCGGAAGCGAGCAAAAAAACGGTCATCGCCGCCAATCTAAGCAAGGCGGTCGACATGGTCTTGCAGTGTTGTTTTTATTGGGATTGCGGCGTGCGCGAAAACGGGTCGTGTATAGGTTTGAGTTTTTTTTTTAAATTAAAATTTGTGAAAAAAAGATGGATAATTATTGTTTAAAAGTCAACACACTTTTCAACAGATATCAGCTGTTGACATGAACGTCGAAGAGCGGGTCGCTGACGGCCGAGAGACTTGCGCGCACCGCGGATGGAACGGCTCAACTGATTCGGTTAGTCGCCCGCCGAAGGACCGGTGCAGTCGTAGAGCTGCCGCCGTTGCCTGCGCCTAGTCTGACAAGCGGTGGCGCCGGCACGCGTCAGGGTTGCCATCGGACCGGATCGAAATAGCCGTACCACAACCGGCACCACGGTATTATTGTAACAATATTATTGGGCCTCTGACGAAAAATAAAAATTGCAGTTAAAAAAAAAAATGTACAGCCCCATATAAAAATCTAAAGGACTCTGTTCACCCGTCATCCTGTGCCTACAATGTGTTTTATTTTTAAAATAACCAACTACTTATCACTGGTGTTTGATTGAGATGATCTATATAGTAGACATTGGTAGGGAATCAACAATGTAGTAACTACCAACATTTAAAACGGCGATTGAAACTAATATAATAATATCTCAAACATTTTATTTTTTAAGACCGGTGAGTCCGAGTTTGGTATCAGTTTTGAAATTAAAATTGTATTTATGGGGGAAGTGTTTTTTTCATTATTTTTAAATGCAAAGTGCATAATATCGATAAACTGCTACTTTTTTTGGGTTGCTGAGTTCGAATTTGGTATTAGCTTTAAAATTATTCCTAAGGGGTTTAGTTATAAAATACATATTTTTGGTCTAGTTTAACGAATTATATAGCCCTTATAGAAGTAATATAATTGAAAAAAAAATAATACCCAAGCTACTTTTGGTACTTTGATGTTTATGTGATGGTTCTAGGCTCCACCTAGCTGGTTTTAACTTAACAAGTAATTCAATAGGAAAATTGAGATGGCTTTATTTATTCAAAATTGTATTTATTTTCTAGATTATCAAAAAAATATATATATGTAATGCCTAAGTGAAATAAAAATTAAGATATTGTAAAATCAGTAATATTGTAACAAATAATCAGCTGAAGTTCTGTGCAATTTAAATTATATTTTAATATGGATAGAACAGTTACCTACTGTCTTTCCTTCGTGACTTGTAAAAAACGGATTCCGGACGCCAATCATTTTAATATCCTCAGTTATAGCGCAAGATCTTGTACAATAAATTACATTTATGTAACCGGAAAATCGTTAACAGCTAATATTAAAGATTTGGAAACAGGACATTACGCGGTATTCCACTAGATCATAGGTAAATTTATTGTTTCAGCCTGGTAAGTTAGCCGTTAGGTAATATATAATTCTATGACTTGTTTTTTAAGAACTATACATTTAGTAATACTGTATAATATTATGTTACAGGCGAAAATTGTCTTTAGGTAACTATATAGATCTATACCTTTATTAATAAACGTTATGTAGTCTGTTTTTCGAAAACTAAAGAAATTGTTTACTCAGTATAATATCCAAGTCTAATTATTTCACACTTACTACAGCTGTTATTTGCTACGCGTTTTGGTGTTTTCGCAAGAATGCACTGTTGTGGTACGGCATACAAATGTTTTATTAATTTGTTTTATAAAATATCTATTATTTATTAATTATTTTATTTTAAATAATTACGTTATAAGCTAAAAATAACCTTGATTGATTACAAACAAAAAAAACAGGAATGCTACAATATTACAATTTGTCTATGTTTCATACCTAATATTGATATTTAATGTAATATTGTAGTATATTTCACATACTATCATAATTAAAAAGTATCTACAACCAATAAAATATATTAGTCGATTTTCTTTTTATATTTAATATTACATTTGTTTTAGTTTTTCGTTATCTTGTTTTTGAGTAATTCGTACGCCATAAATTATGACTTAACGCACCAATGTTTAAGAAAATAAATTATTTTAAAAACAAAGTAGCTCCATAATGTTTCAATAATATAATATGAAACCAAAATAAAAAATTCCACAGAGATTTTATGCGGGCTTCTGTCTTTCCTTATTATAAATTACATACATTTTTTAGTTTAATCAATTTTTAAAATGATTAGGCTGGCCGAATAATCTCAATTGTTACACAAATCGTTTTAGAATATGATAAACCAGCTACAATCCAAATTTAAACAACTGATACATTCGTTTAATTTATAATGACCATCTATCGGAAACGAAGTTGGTAAACAATACTGAGGCCAAGTGTAAAAGGTCATACTTAAATCAACAGTGTTAGATACATACGCGCTTACATCACGTCTACAATGACACAACCATATTTTCCAAATGCAAATTACAGTAACTGTGTGTTCTTTATAAACAATCACTGGCATAATTGTTGTTGGTCTTTGATTGCTCAGCCATTTGAACGGCTCGGAAGTTTGTTAATGCGGTATTGTGTTAGCGAGATTCAGTCACAAATCAAAAAATATTACATGGAATCTAAAAAAAACTTACCACCGAATCACACTCCACAGAGCATCGACCAGCGCACATTATACATTTCACATTTACCAAACAACTTTACACATTAAGTGTCTGTATTATCCCTTATCTGGACTTTGTATTGATTAGATGTTGGGGTTTAAACATTTCTAATATAATATAACAAAAAAAAAAAAATGTAAATTGCGAACCATCACTACACTGTCTAAGTACACACATATTTGGACATTTCACGCGCTCGAGATCAGATTAGTGGCTGTATATCATTAATATAATTTTTATAAATTATAAAATAATTATCATTGCTTCTTTTGGTGGCTCTTTCTTAACTGATGTAACCGAATTTTTTATTATTTTTATTATTTATTCAACGATAATATTAAATTCGGAGGTCAGCCGCCACATGTAGAGCCATGCATGCCTTATATTACATTTTTTTTATGTGCTAATGCCACACTACTGACAGTGCCACGGCTCTCTTATAAAATAAACAAATCGGGTTAGCCAAAAAGTGAAGTAAAAAAAAAACACCGAACGTTAAATGCGCACATGCCACTTCCGTCGGTGTTTTGTTTTGTTTTTGAAGAAGACACCAGTGTCTATGATGGTTATGCTAAAACATAATACAGTTTCTTCTACACTGGTACATCCCTCTTAATTTTTGCAGCCCTTGTCCTTTTGAACGGACTTGAATTACAATTTTGACCATCGATTAAATACAATTTAACCAACGTTCTAACCGTATAGTATTTTCACAATATTATTAAAGATTAGGTAAAAGGAATTCGGTATGCAAAGATCGCCAACTTAAACGTCAAGTGTCAACATAAAACACCGTATTGATATAGTGATAAACGTGATTGCACTATACCCTTGTTATAATATCATAATCATTACGGTAAGATTTAAAATATTATTCTAGATTATTTTGATGAGCCCTTCTGAATTATAAAAGACTGTAAAAGCGGTTGTAAACAATCATAAAAACGTCACGTTTCTCTAGTTTCTACAGATTCAAACGAGGACATGCGTTCAGAGAGTTGGCTTTGTATTCGGTAAAGTCAATAAAGCTGTACAAAGAACTGATATGGAAATAACGATGTGTAGTGTAGCAAAATTAGGCAGAGATAACAGTAACAAACAGATATTTTTCATCTGTGATTGAGAATCAAGACAAACTTAAAACTAGTGTAGAAAAAACCCGGAATAACACTTGTGAGGTAATAAAAAATAAAATATTTAAAAATTACCCTTTACAATTAAAAAAAAAATATATATATATATATATATAATATTAACGTTTACCCGCATTCTGTTGTGAACGATAATGATGGTAGCTTTGTTAAACATATACACTAAAGTCTGTTATTTTTTTCTAGTAAAAGGTAATTGTAAATACTTTATGTTATTCTATTACTTATAATTAAGACCCTTGTGCTAATGTAGAATAAAAGTAAAAAAAGTGTAGATAAGATAGGTTAGGTACCTATTGTTAGAATTCAGAAGTTAGTTATCTACATAATAGTATAGGAAATGATAATTCGAGACTCAAGTGCTAAATAATGTTAGTCCATCAATAACCTATAATATGAGTATGACATAATTCTTCTCAAGATTTTGGTGTATGTCAAGATTAAAACGATTCTTTCAATTTATTTGTCTTGAAACTAAATTTCCTAAAAAAAAATATTATTAATACTGAAGTGAAGAATTACAAGGATCCTGCCAATTTTTCCGCAGTATACAGTGTAACAAAAGTGTCAATATGATAATATTATGTGTTTTTAATAAAATAACGAAGGTGTATAGAAGAAAAAAAAATGATGTTCTAGTTTCTAGTTATACTACCTATGCCCAACCCTGGAATAAATTATTCTGGCGGCTATAATGTTATTCAAATGAATGATAATTTTTTACACTTATAAATTTATGCGTGTAAGAAATCATAAACAATTTTCTGTTCGGATAATTATTTAAATACTCGCATATTCTGCGGCGTTAATATTATAAATAATAATAATATATTATACAAGACCTCATTCCTGAATTCCACAAGAGCATTTATTTTTAAACTAGCTTAATTTAAATGCGCTCGCTCCGGCAATTATGATTATAATAAATACTGCGATTTATATTATTGGAAAAAAAAAATATTGTTATTTACTAATTGGTCAGCGAGTTAATGCGTGAATAGTTTGATTATGGTAATAATAATAATTGTGTGTTCGTAGCAACTCAAATCGCTAATGGACCTAATAGGTATTATACCTACCTGTTGTTCGAGCTAAAGTTCAACAAAGCTACATAATATATAATAGTCGGTTGTGGGTAATAAAAAACAACAACATTATCGTTGATTTTTGTTTTAATTAACACTATACACATCGGTTTGTTATCGAAACTTAGAGTTTGTACGCAACTATCGATTACACGAGATAATAATATTTTCCTATAATATATTATTAGTCCAGAAACAAAAAAAAAAGCGATTACATTATGTCGATTGTCGACCTTTCGACAGTATTTTTATTGTACAACTAATAATATATCAATAATAATATTTATTAGTCGATTAAATTATACCGTCAGCATGTTTTTTTTATCATTATAACATTCTACTACTAGGTATCGTTGACCTTATTCGATTGTATTCGATTAATAGCAAACAACGAAGACGAATATAGCTGTGATTTGAA